GATTTTATTAGAATTTGAGAGAATAGAGATTCACTCCAGAAAGGTTTTCAATGAAGTTAAAGAGAAAAAATCCAATACAACTGATGAGGAAGACTCTATAGGCCCAATGGTGAGTTAGGATATAGAGGATATTACATGGGCGCGTGGAGATACAGATTTTATTTTCGAGTGTTGAAAAGATCTCTCACGAGTGAGCGTAACAAAGCAAATTATGTCCTAAAATACCTTTTTCTTACTTGCATTATATAGAGAAACCTCGAATGTGTTATTTTCACTAAAATATCAATTTTACGAAATGGAGAAATAGGTATTTAATAGATAATTATTATATGATAAATACATTTATCATAGGACCTGTATTTCGGCCCTACGTGCGCTCTTAAAAAACCTTTGGGAAATGGTCATGTGATGGGGGCTGTACGCCTTTTCGTGACAGGGCCGTATATATATGTTATTTACCGGCTGGGAGGTCCGTATCTAGGAAAACACTGCCCGAGGTCTTGACAGTACGGAACGAGTGCAGCGAGGTCCATACATAAAAGACCGAGTGCAGTGTTTAGCTATACGGACTGACCTAGTCCTATAGCTGGTAAATACCAATTTTTTTTCTTTACTTGCATTTTATGCAACTTTGCTCGCAGTCTAGCTGCAGGATACAGTCGGACCGGGCAGATAGTGAAAAACCGGACTGCATACTAGCCAATCACAGCGCGCTAATGACTAGGATACTGGACCAAAAAAAAATAAAAACCCATATTTCCCGGCTTAAAGTTCAGCATGCTATTATTTATTTTTTACATTAAAAAACACTGTCATATGATAAAATGCTTATTGACTGARTTAGGTCGGGCCGTATGGGAAAATATTTGGCTCTCGCTACACATTTCCGTAAAGCATACCTCGATCAGCCAAATGCATGTATTTTCCCATATGGAACGACCTAACTCAGTCAATAAGTACATAGTGTGGTAGTTGTTCCCACAGCAGTTGTAGCCATATTGTAAGGATGACTTACGCACGTCATAGTTGTAGGCACGAGTCACACTGTCTAAATCTGCCTTTAAAGTTCACCTAACCCCTTAAAAATGGCATTTTTTTCTAAAATTAGGGAAGTTTCTAAGAGCTTTGGCAAAAAAATGACTCAATTTCATTCAATTCCTGATTTTTGGCAAATGTTTTAAGTTGGATTTCGGATGGACAGCCTTGAAAGAAGTATGGAAATGAGTATGATATCAACCCAGACAATAAGACAATACCTTCTTTGATATTTGGTGTGTTGTGACAACTGTAAACAACACACCGGTTCGGCATTTTCAACTCAAAAATCTATAAAAATCTACAAAGTCCCTACAACCGACAGTGTTCCCAAAGGTTTCACAGTGTATTTGATACTGGGTTGATGTCACAAGTCACGTGATACTGTAAAATTGCTTGTCACCACAGTTAGCTCGAAGTACCTTTTCTTGCATGTTTATAAATTTTTAAAAAATTGGGATTTCAATAAAATCGTGTTATTTATATACCAAGTTAAAAGTTTGACTAAATACAAATACATTTGTATACAGCCTTTTGCACAAATTATGAGACATTTTTATATATATAATATACCTAACCAAATATCAAAAACACCCAAGAAATTATGGGATACCGTCGCTGATATTTTGTCTGTAACAACCTGATGCTAGGCAATCATGACAAAATATAATAGAGATATACCATAATTTCTGGGGTGTTTTTGATATTTGGTTAGGTACAGCCTTTTGCAAAAATTATGAGAACTGTTGAAATATCTAAATATCATAATATCAAGTGCATGATGGGTAATCCCGCGCGATGCCCTTAGTCCCTTGTCTTTGTAGTTTAGGGGTTTTTTTGGCGACAGACTTATCCGTAGTTCTGAACATTTTCTCGATGTCAACAATGAATTATTCTAGCAAACCCACGTGTTCCGGACAATGTATATTATGATATTTAGATATTTAGACAATTCTCATAATTTTTGCAAAAGGCTGTATATTTATATATATAAAAATGTCTCATAATTTGTGCAAAAGGCTGTAAAGACAGTTGATATGTAATATATATATATATATATATATAAAACTGT